TATATTTATTTTTTTTCTGATATTTTAATATGCGGGCAATGCCACTCGAGGAGCCAGAAGCCAGCTAACCAAATGAATGCAGCTCCGCTTCACATTTGCTGTGCCATTTTATTTGTCACGCGTTTTTATCACTTTGCGTGGAGGAGAGTGTATATGTGTGAATGTATATATATGTGTGTGTGTGTGTGTGGGTGTGTGTGTGCGTGCGTGTGTGGTCCCAGCATCAGATTATCACATTTGCATACGCCGCTGTTGCTTCGTGACAGGACAGTGCGATGATGATGACGATGACGACGGCAAGGGATATGATATAGGAGTTTCAGTTAAGGCTGTCTCTGCATCTGTGTGTGTGTGTGTGTATGTGTGTATGTGTTGAAAGGCATATAACCTCATATGCAGACAGTCCCAACCTGATGTGTGACATTTGCTGTAAGCGACATTTTACCGTCCAACATGGACTGATCAGGATTGAATTACACCCACAATCCGGGAGTCGGTCACTTTGATTGCAAACGCTGCGAATGGATGCGAATTTCGATTGGGCTACTATGTGTGTGTGTCTGTGTGTGGGTGTCTGTGTGCGTGCGTGTGTCTGTTTGGGTTTTTATGACGCAACTTCCGCGCAGCAAAACGTTGACAAATATTTTATTATCACATTTTATGATTTTATGAGTCCCCGGATATGAATCACTGAGTGGTGAGACGTTTGCCACACACACACCCACACACACACACACACAGACAAAATCACACACTATCACGTAGACACATAACAGTGGTGGATGGGCTTAAGCACACAAATACATACATACATATACTGAAAGCTTTGCTTACCGTTTTTATCCATTGATTCCAACAAAATTTAAACTCCTCCCTATCGATGAAGCCATCGCCGTTCTTATCAAAGACAGCGAATATTTGCTCGAGGCGTTCGTGTGGCACATCGTAGATGTGGCCCTTGTCATTACGGAACAGAGCACGGCAGATTAGCGTAAACTCAGCCAGATTCAGACGGTCATCGCTGCGTGGGAGTCGAGTGCCAGCAAAGGTGAATCAGGCATGAAAATAAACGAGAGCGCAAGATAGAGACGGCTGCCAGATGGAAAATAAACTTAACTTAGTTTCTAGTAACAAAATCAGATGAGAGCACATTGAGTCAGGCAGTGTTTGAGGGGGGGCGAGGGCGAGCGGAGGTCCTCTGATGTTTCTATAAGCCCGCTGCTAGTTGCCAGTTGGGGTTGTTTGTCATTGTAGCCGGCTGTCAGTTGGCAGCCGAGCTTTAAGTTCCATTCAGATTTCACTTATTTATAGCACAGTTTTTGGGGCGCGCCCTCGGCAACAGCAGCTGCTTTCAATTTGTTTTGCGTTTAATTAAGGTAAAATTAATGCGATTACGTTTATTGATTTGCGCTTAAAATGAATGGCGCCATAAAACTGTTGAAAATGTCAATTAGAATTAATTTATGCAACATTTACATAAATTTTTTATTCAACTTTTGCGTACATAAATTAACTTAGATTTCGCCCTCAAATGAATCGAACGATTTTATTTATTTTCTTTTATTTTTTTCATAATTAATTATTAATACCTGTCACGGCCCTTGTTGATGCTGGTAATTCACTTGATTTTATTTATTTATTTTCATGATTCACATTTTTCCTGTTTGTTCAATGCTTTTATCAAGAATTATTTTACTATTGACCAAGCCCAAATGGGCACTTAATGCCAATTCAATTCCAATTCGCTGTATTATTATATCTTGACTTGTCTACAGATCCACTATATGTTCGTTTCATAGCATTTAAGTATCAATAATTAAATAAAATTTTTAGTCTGGCCACAGTTTTTGAATGCTGTGTATTATTCAATTATCTTTAAATGAATATGTGAATATGTGAATGCAAGCAGTGAATATTGAATGCAAATAAATATTCATGCGGAGTTTCGCTTAATTAATTTAATCGCAATATGCCCATTTCGCAGTCGGCTCTGTCCACAGGGTGTACAAAGAGAATTATTATTAAGAAAAATATTGCATGTGCTTATCACAATTAATAATATTTCACAACTTTATGCAATTTGATGCAATTTAACTGTTTGTTTTTAAGTTAATTAAAGTGCATTAAATAATTATTCGAATGCTTTTACATGCGGCACGTGAATTGTATTATATTAATAATGAAATTAGTCAATAAATATGTAAAATGTGTTAAGCCATTTTCCAATGCGTGTTCTGAATTAATATTATTGACGTATTTTATTTTTTAGTTTATATACATTTTTCATATACATATACATTTTTGTATAAATTAAAATTTTTCTTATTTTTTACATTTTCAGTATTTCATCACATTTTATAATTATATATTTTATATTTACTT